GCTGGGGGCGGAGGGGGTGGCAATGCCCGTTCCACGCATCGGAGGTTGGCCCGTGCACCTGGTGACCTGCAGGAGCCAGGTGAAGCTGCCCACGCAGACACCCCAGAACCCCCCAGAACGGAGTGGGGCCGGGCCGGGGGAGGAGGTGGTTTCTCCAACAAAGACGGAGAAGCCAAAGTGGCAGAGGCTGGCTGGGGACTGGACGGGACAGAGTAAAAAAATCACACGCACGCACGCACGCACGCACACACAGGCACGCTCTTGGGCTCCATAAAAACCCGGGGCCCTCACACGATGCTCTGCCGACCCCTGGCCCCCTCAAACCCTGAGGCGCCAGACCCACTGCGCCGGCCAAAGTCAATGAAGATGCCTTCGGAGTCCGAGTCCACGGACTCCAGGATCTGGTCCACCAGGTTCTCGGGGCTGGAGGAGGGCGGGGAGCTGCCGGCGGGGCCCGGCTCCGGGGGCTGCGTGGGTGGGTACAGTCTGCTGGGGCAGGGCCCGGACTGGGGACCCGTGGAGGGTGCGAAGTCCCCCATGGGGCCCTGGCTGGGCGCATCGGGGCAGGACGTCATCTCGGAAACCGAGTGTCTGCGGATGCCGGTGCCATTGGCCGCCGTGCCCTCCGCCTCGTGCTCGGCCACCGGGTTCAGCAGCGGCGTGTTGTAGCTCTTGGAGCGCACCACCGGGTTCTTGGCCAGGATGTCCCCGGAGCGGGAGCGGCGCAGGAAGTGCTTCTCTGTGGACAGACAGACAGACAGGCGTCAGGCACCAGAGGCCAGGGCACTCAGACCGGGCGGCCGCTGGGCACACCTAGGCACCAGGGTGTTCCAGGCCCTGCCTTCTGCCAGATGCAGGCAGATCCTCCAGTGAGCGCCACCTGGGCACCTGGTTCTGCATGAAGGCCAGTGACAGGAAAGGCCAGACCTGCCACAAGCCTGCTGGGGCCGCCTGGCCGGCAGGGAAGAGAGAAGCAGGCTCCTGCCTCTTGTCTCCTCAATCCCAGCCTCTCGGCCTGGACAGGCAGGTGGGGCTGGGGGGCTAAGTGCGCTGTCCTGTCTCCCCACCTGTGCAAAGTCAGCAAATCTCGGCACGTGCTCCGCACCAGTGCTCCTCTGGGCAGCACAGACCCTGTCCTCACAGCTGGGTCTTAAGAGTGTGTGTGCGTGTGTGTGACAAACCCTATGGGTGGTCCACGAGTCAGGTAAAGGCAAGTGCCATGGCAGGGCAGCTAACAAGAGGCCCTTCAATGTGAGGTCAAGGCTGGGGGTTTCATTCTGAGTGTCCTGGGAGCCCCTGCAGGATGGGAGAGGACCCCAGGGGCGGCTGAGGCTACATAGGGGCCGATTTCCACTCCCACTCAGGACCATGCAGTTCCACAGAGTGTCACCAGGCAGGGGGCAGAGGGTGGTGAGCGGCTCAGAGCCCCTTCCTGGACCAGAGGCGAGGCTCCCTTCTCACCCCGCGGGGGTCCCGTCAGCCAGGGCCAGAGGGAACCCGGGCATCTCAATGTTCTCCAGGCGCCAGGCCCCCGCCCGAGCTGAGACGTGCCCGGCAGGTAGGTTTCACACCGGCAGGTTGGGGGGGGCATTCTAGGTGAGGGCGACACTTGGAGCAGCTCTTACACTGCTGCCCACTGGGGCCGGACGCTCCTCCTACACCTCCTCCCAGGCCTGGCTCCTCCCGGCCCTTCAGCTCAGCAGCCACCTCCAAGCCTGGACTTCCCTGAGCTCCCTGTACATGGCCCTTGTATCGCCTGGGCACAGGGCACCTTGGGGACTTATCTGGGGACTGTCTTCCCTGGTGGACGAGAGACTATGAGGGTGGGGTTTGGTCTCTACTGAAGCCCCAGGACCAAGAACAGGCGCAGGTGCACAGTAGGTGCTCAGTGGGCTGGCTTCTGCGGACACGCCACGCAGCCCAGGAGGCCAGCGCACCTGCCCCGTCCCTGTCTCTCTCCTGGATTCCCTAGAGGGGCTGGGATTTCTGGGGCTCTAGCATGTGCCTGGCCAACTCCTGACTTTCAGGACTGAGCATAGATGTGGCCTCCTCAGGGACACGAAAGACGATGCTGGGCTCTCGGGAGAGACGTCACATCACCCTCTGGGTGTCTGCCCACTGGGTCCCCCTCGGCCCTTGATGGAGGGTCCCCAGGTGACTGATACCTGTGTGACCAGGGCCTAGCACATGGCCTGGGCCCCGGTAGAGCTGGATGGGCCCAGTGGTAACCACTCCCACCCCAGGCCCTGGCGACTCTTACCCAGGATGCAGGAGTGTGTAAAAGAGCCCTCGCTGGAATAGAGGCCATAGGTGCCCAGGTAGGGCGACACCACCTTCTGGATCAGTGTCTCCAGCCGCAGGTAGTCCTTGGTCACACCCCGGGACTCATGCACGCCCTGCGAGAGGGAGAGGTGGAGGGTCACTGCCCAGCATACCCCATTTCCCTCCCCTAGTGGGCTTAGCTCAAAGACACCACGAGCACCCTGACCCCCNACCTAGTGGGCTTAGCTCAAAGACATCACGAGCACCCTGACCCCCCTCCCACGGGGCCCCGGCCCCGAGGACAGCGCCTACCAATCCTCCCATCCCATCTTCTCAAGCTGGGTTCTCAGTCACTCTCCTGCTCTGACACCCTCTGGGGCTGTCCACGGCAGCTGGGGGTCTGGGTGACCATGGTGTCCCGTGGAAAAGGGCCCTGTGGCCGCGTGAGGCTGGGCATTCTGCAATCACCCCCTCAGGAGAGTCCCCTGAGCACTGGCTTTCTAGAGGCCCTGGAAGTCCTGCAGGGAAAAGCTCATTCACCTGGAGCCCCCACCCTCACTCCCTCGCCATGGAGCACTGCAGGCAGGAAAGGCTGCCCCATGGGGCTAGGCCCGGGTCCACATCCAAGCTCAGCCATTAAGGCCTGTGCACCTGACAGCTGCCCCCTCCCCATCCTGCACTCCACCTGCTTCCCCTGACAGGTCTCAGCCAGCTCCTCCCCGACCCCTCCCCTGTCCTGGGCTTTGCAGGGATCTCCACCTGAGAGATGGGGCTGCCCACAGGATGGCCTGGGTCTTGCCAATCTGGGGGACAAGCTCTGTGTTCCCTAGTGCCCTCTGCAGAGGTCTGGCACACAGCAGGCTCTTAGTGCTTGCTGAATGAATGATACACGAATGAATGAATGAATGAATGACATCGCTCTTCAGGGGCTGCCAGTCCGTAAGGGACAAAATACACAGAGAGTAATGGTAGATGACAGTTGAAGACAAAAAGAGAACCCAACTCTAGGCTCCCTTCAAGAAACACACCTAAACCACGAAGACACAAGTAGATTAAAAGGAAAGGAAGGATGCCCTGGCGGGTGTGGTTCAGTTAGTTGAGCGTCATCTGTGCACCGAGGGGTCACTAGTTTGGTTCCAGGTCAGGACACATGACCAGGCTGTGGGCTCGGTCCCCAGTAGGGGGCGTGCAGGGGGCAGCCAATCGATGACTCCTCTCCTCATTGATGTTTCTCCCTCTCCCTCTCCCTTCCTCTCTCTGAAATCAATAAAAATATATTTAAAAATAAAGGTTTCATGGGTAAATGTTTTTTAAAAAGAAAAAAATAACATGAGTCAAAGAAGAGATCTCAAGAAATATTTGAAAAGGTTTTGAACCAAATGAAAATATAACTTATCCAAATTTATGAAATGCACCAAGAGCAGTGCTTAGAGGGAAATCTATAGCATTGAATGAATATATTAGAAAAGTAAAACATCAAAAATCAATCACCTAAACTTCCACCTTAGGAAACTACACAAAGAAGAGCAAATTACGTCTGAAGTAAGCAAAAGGGGAAAAACCTAACATTCAGAGCAGAAATCAATGACACTGAGAAGAGGAATCGATCGAAAAAAATCAACAAAATCAAAAGCTGGTGCTTTGAAAAGATCAGTAAAATCAATATGCCGCTAGCCAGACTAAGAAAAAAAGAGACACGTACAAATTACTACGATAGAAATAAAAAGGGACATCACTACAGACCCCATGGATCCAGTGTGTTTGGACAAGGAGGGGGTGGGATTCACTGGATGCCCTGTTATGCCACCCAGACGAATGTAAAGGACCTCAGGTTTCCCTGGACCTGTCTCCGCCCCCAGCAGCAGTGATGTGGAATAGGATGACACCGCTGAGCTGAGCTGGGGCTTCATTGAACTTTATGTCATTTCATTTCTAGAACTTGTCTATAAAGTCTAGTTTCTGCTCCCCATTGCAGAGAGAACATGGGGGCCCAGGGGCTGCATTATTTGTGTGCACTCAGATGAATGGCTGTTCCCTGGCTTTTGGGACCCGGTGAGAAGGCACTGTGACTCTGCGGGTGAAGCACAGGGCACACAGTAGGTCCTCAACACAGGCTGACCGGCAGCTGTGACTTCAGACCCATCTGGGACTTGAAAACTGTAGGGGCAAGTTCACTGGGGAGCTGGGGCAAGGTCATTTGAAGTGCAGGCCAACTGGGGGGATGGGGTAACGGCAAAAGGTTGTGCTTTGGGGTCCCACCCACAAGGAAACGGACAGTTTGGGTGGCAATGGGGCCAAGCCCAGGAAGCTGCATGAGACACAGCAGCCACCAGGGGGCAGCACCACCCCACCCTGGCCACCCACAAGGATGGGCTCATGGGATCAAGGTGAGACCTTATTTCTTGGCTCTAAATCTCAGCTGCATGGTGCCTGCTTCCAGGGGCATCTCGGAGGGCTTTACATCCGACCTCTCTCCATTTCCCTAACCCTGCCCTGCCAGGTAGGCGGTCTTACTCCATCACACAGACGAGAAAAGAGGTTCGGGAGACAAAGTCCCACAAGGACCCCAGCTTCAACCCAGCCCGGTCTGACCTGAATGCCCTTAAAATCCTTGCTTGGCAGGCCTGGCACCCCTGGAGCTGCGAGGATGACTGCAGCTCCCAGCAGTGCAGCTCCTGACCCGTCAACCTCCACATTCATCAGCCCTTCCTTGCTCTGGAATCTTCCCCGGCTGCCCTGGGCCCCAGGACCAACCTCACAGACCCCAACTTAGCAGGATTTCCACATGCACGGGGGATTCGGAACAATGAACAGGGCTCTGGAGCTGGTCAGACTCGGGCGAGGCCTTGTCAGCTGCAAGCAAGCAGGCTCCTGGCGGGGAGGCTACTTCCCTGCCTGTGCAACGGGACTGCTGGCGGTGCCTGCCCTGGTCCCGGGGCAGTGAGAAGAGCCAGCAAACTGTAGAGCTGTGCCTGCCCAGGGCTCCGGATGGAGCAGAAAGGCCCAGTCTGCAGTGGAGGCTGCCGGTGGCCCACCAGATCCCGTCCCTGGCAGGCCACTCACCCCCCCACCTGCTGCTGGGAGCATGGCTGCCAGCAGTTCACAGCTGCCCCTTCCCCAGAGCTGCTGTTCGGACGAAAGGCACCCACACCAGAGACGTCAGCACCACTGTGGGGCATGGGGAAGGCGGCCCAGAGCCCCAGTGACTGACGGATGAGGGGTTTAAAGGCCCAGACCCTGCCCACAAGGGACAACTCTGGTCCTGGTCACACTCCCGGGCGCCCGTGGGATCAGGCCAAGGCCAGCCTTCTCCAGAACCCGTCTCTGCACAGCTCCTCTGTCCACTCCCGCGTCACTCTCCCTCCCAGGTTCCTCCTGAGGACTCCACTGGCGACCCACAGGGACCCAGGCCCTCGTCTCGGCTCTGCCCCGGGAGCCGCACCGCGTGCCCACCTGTAGCACCAGCAGCATCTGCACGATTGCGGGAGGCACGCGGGCGTGGGCGCGGGCCAGCGCGTCCTCCAGCTTCACGCTGAGGGTGATGGTGTTGCGGAAGTGCAGCAGGGCCAGCTGGCGCACCGACGGCTCCTTGCCCTGCGGGGACACAACACCGCGCCCACCCGCCCGCCGGTCACGGGGGCCTTTGCCTGCTTCCCCCCTCAGGTTCTGGGGCCAGACACAGGGGAGGGGACCCACTGACCTGTAACGGGCAAGGAAAGGGTTACTGGCACACACAGAGCCCCCACTATGCACCGGGCAGGGCCTACTATGTGCTGCTCAGGCTTTGTAGGGCCTTTAGGAAGGAGCTGCTTTATTGCCCTCTTGCGGGTGGGAAGCAGGTTCTGAGAGGTCCAGGGACAATGTGCCCGTAAGAGCATCAAGGGGCAGAAGGGCACGTCTCCCTCCCGGCGGGGCAGTCTGGGTTGTCACCCAGGCCTGGGGGGGCCCGTGGCTCAGGGCTGCTCACCTGCACCGGGTAGAAGATGGCCTGGAGCGTGGGCAGCACATCGCTGAAGAAGAAGTCCCAGGTCTCCGCCAGGGAGTCCAGCAGCTTCTGTCCTGTGGGCACAGGGAGCCGTCACGGCCTGTCCCGAGTGGGCATGGCAGGCCCCGCCTGCCCCCCAGGTCAGAGGTCCTCTCTCCCCCCAGGTCAGACGTCCTCTCTCCGTCAGTGAGCAGGATGCAGGAGCTCCAGCTGGGTTCCGGGTCCTGGAGGTGCCTGGGGTGGGGCCCTGAGGTTAAGGGCACAGAGCACAGGGCAGCTGGGTGGGCCAGAGCTGGTGCTTAACCTTTCTGTGCCTCAGCCGCCACGTTAACAAAACGGGGCAGTCCCAGGGCCACCTCCCGGAGCCAAAGAGACGAAATGTTGAGCATAAACAGGGCCTGGTGCAGAGGAAGTGCAGGTGCGTGCTGGCTGCTAGTTCCCGCTCCTGCCCACGCCAGGCCTGCACGGGCGCTGGACCCGCACAGGGGCGAGAGCTGCACGGACGTGCCCCCCCACCCCCAACAGGGGCTTCCGCTCATGTCCCGTCTCATCTGATTCACCTACCCACCCGCCAAGGAGCTAAGGAATCC